GTGCCATGCCCCCTGGGGGGTGATTTCTCGCTTTCCGTCTCTATGTCTCTCTGTCTGAATGGTGAGCTCATGCTCCCTATAGCGAAAAAAAAACCTCTCCAAAAAAAAAAGAATAAACATAATTAAATAAATAACTATTAACAACAACAACAACAACAAACTAGTGGCCTTAAAGGAAAAAAGAAAAAGAAAAGAAAGAAAAAAAAACAAACCTTTTTTCCCTATTCAATTTTCTTGGCATCCTTGTCAAAAAGCAGTTGACCAACAGGAAAGGGAATTTATTTCATGACTCTCAATTCTTTTCTGTTGACCTATATACCTGTCTTATGTCAGTATTACATAGCCTGGATTGCTGTAGGTTTGTGGTATATTTTGAAATCAAAGTATGTATCCTCTCATTTTATTTTTCTCTCTCAAGATTGTTTTGAATATCCTGGGTCTTTTGTTTTGTTTTGTTTTGTCTTGTTTTGTTTTTGTTTTTGTTTTGGGGGGGAGGAGAGGTTTTTGCTATAGGGCGTGTGAGTTCACCAGAAAGACAAAGAGAGACAGAGAGACAGAAAGCGAGAAATCACCCCCAAGGAGGAATGGCCACGCCACAATCCCTTCTCCTCCTTTCTCTTCTCAGTATCTTGGGCACAAACGCACATGCACCTGGCGTGAGTTTAAGTCACCGGGTCCGGGACTCGAGCTGTGGTCAACTACATGGGAGTCCAGCGACATAGCCATTACGCTAACTGCTGGTCCCATGGGTCTTTAGTATTTTGTATGAACTTTAGAATCTGCTTCCCAATTTCTGCAAAAAAAAAACTGGCTGCAATTGAGATTGCATTGAATTTGTAGATAGGTTTGGGAAATTTTGCCATATGAAAGTCCTCCAGTCCATGAACATGGGATGTTTTCCCATATAATTAGGTATTTAGTTTCTTACAGTGATATTTATAGTTTTCAGTGTATCTATTGTTCTTACAGTTCTTTTGGTGAAGTTATTCCTAAGTATTTTATTTGGTTTTATATTATTCGTTGATAGCATATGGAAATATAGTTGGCTTGTATCAAAAAATCATGTTTTTAATGACACTTTCTAAAAGCTTTAAAAAAATAAAATATATATCAAATACTATTCTTTTTCAGCTGTAAATGGCTATATAGTAATGCCATATAATTACTTTAATATAAGGTAAATATCTGAGATTCAAATCTAGAAGTTTTGAGTTTTAGGCTTTTTACCTATACACTTAGCTATGCTCCTTATTTTAGTAAATAAATTTTGGGTAATTAGTAAAACATAATATTTGAGTTTCTTTTCCACTTCTAGCGTTAAATGCTTACAGAAGACAGTGAAGGACTCTTACCATATAATATGTAGACCATGTGCCTGTGAACTTGAAGTTTGTGCAAAATGTGGAAAGAAAGAAGAAATTGTTATTCCGTGAGTACTTCCCTTTATCTTGGATTTTAGTGTTAATAACTGATACATGAATTTTCTTTCTTTTGATGGCACATTGAGTAGCTCTTAATTTTGAGTTGCAATATATCACAGTAATGTAGCCTTTTTTCTACGTAACAGGAAAAAAGCCATAATTGTTTGTTAAATTTTTACAAAAGAAGTAAAACATTATATATTTTAAAATATTTATTTATTTCCATTATTATTATTATTATTATTTTATTTTGACCAGAGAGAGACAGAGAAAGAGAAAGAGAAAGTGAGAAAGCAGGCCATTAGGTCTGGAACTCAAACCGTGGTCGACCGTGTGGGAATCCAGCACCTTTAACAGAACACATTAACATATCACCTGCCGGCCCCAGAAACATATTTTTAAGAAAATAAAATATTTACCCACATAGTTAGCATTTATCACAAAAAAATTGCTTATGATTTTTCCTTAATGGACAGACATCATGTATTAATTTCTTTGAGGCTACTTCGGTGACAGCAGTATTGTAATTGATTGGATCTTGAGGTGAGTTTGTGTTCAAGGATCCTTTTCTCTATACTTATTTCACTAGACTCCTGTTAATTGAGAAATATAATGGTAAATGTCTTTTCATTCTATCTAGTTAAATCATGAAAGCCTGGCAAATAATTAGAAATTTTTTCTTTTATTTTTAGGATTAACAAAGAACCAGAAAAGACAGAAAATAATCCCAACTGGAGAAGAAGTTGCAGAAGAAATGAAGAAAGTGATGATGATTTAGAGTTTGATATTGCTTTAGATGACACAGAAGATGACAGTCCAGTGGATTAATATAAATATATTAAAAGTCAGTTTGAGAACACGAAATTTTGACCAACTTCTGCCTTTGAGGGTTTCAGTTTCACAAAGAATCTGTGAAATCCTAATGAGGAAATCAGAAAAACCTTAGAAAATGGGCAACATTTGTATTTGAACAAGTATATAAATTATGTATGGTATTTGTATTATATAAAGGTTTTTTCCCAGAGTTTTCTTACAACACATTTTTAAGTTTTATATGCTGGCATATTTGCTAAAATGAGCAGTATAGTATCATAGTACTGTTCATAGGAATTATATGGAAGAACATGTTACTAGATTATCAAACAAGATTCAGCCTGATTGTAGAACTACTCCACATAAAAAAAAGGTACTATATTGCTAGCCTCAAAAATTGATCCTCAGTAAGTACCTTTTAGGAGCAAATGATCCACAGAGCAGAAGCTCCTTTAATTATGTTTGTTTAAAAAGCAAAAAGTTTATTTTTTATAATAATGTTTTACAAGTATATAGCAGTTTTCATTGAAAAAAAATTTTTTTTAGAGGTTTTTGCTATAAGGTGCGTGCATTCACAAGAAAGACAGAGACAGAGAGACAGAAAGTGAGAAATCACCCCCCGGGGGGATGGCCATGCTGCAATCCCTTCTCCTCCATTCTCCTCTTGGGATCTTGGGCGCGCATGCACACGTGCCCAGCATGAGTTTTAAGCCACCGGGTCCAGGATTGAACCATGGTTGACTACATAGGAGTCCAGTGACATAGCCATCATGCCAACTGCTGGTTCCCGAAAATAGTTTGATATGTCATCATTGTTGTTTTCACCTTTTTTTTTTTATGAAACACGCACACAGACAAAGCAGAGTTGATGTGCATATTGGAATTAATAATTACAAAGGGAAGGCAGTGTACGCCGGCTAGCACCAGGAGCTTCCCTTCAGGCTCTCTCATCACAAATTTGTCTCTGTTCTCAGAGTTGGTATAATCCTGAATTTTAATAACAACTTTCTTTATTGTTTTACTACCCATGTTGGCACTCTTAAACAATATAAACGAACTATCTCTGATATTTTAACTCTCTTCTATCTTTTCTGATTTGAAAATCTCAAACCTGCAGCAAAACAGCAAAATAATACAAAGTGTACTCTTTACCTAAGGTTCCCAATTCTTGTTTTAACATACTACCACATTCTTATGGATATAGGTATACTTTATTTGCTGAACCATTTCAAAATAAGTGACAAGCATTGTTTTGAACTTGCGTGAATAGACCTATCCTGTGCATGCTACTTTTATCTCTTCATTTTTTATTACAAAATTTGAGATGATTTATGTTGTTTCAAAAGCTATAATTTGTTCATTTTACATTACTCACTTTATGTATTTACATAGCATAGCTTACTAATTCTTTCTGATGTTAAGAGATGTTTACATTAATTTGAATTATTCTTGTTGCACACAGTACTGGTAAGAGCATTATTATATAATGTCTCTCGGTACCCATGCCTGCATTTCTGTTAGGCATATAGATAGCAGTGGTACAGGGAATCAGGGACATGCATCTTCAATTTTTTTTTTAAAGTTTGTTTATTTCTTTCATGAAAAAATCAAGCACCCTCAAAAGGGTATCATGCCACCATCCACTGCCCCCAACCCCAGCATGCCCAGCCAGGCAGGATCACGGGCTTTTGCCCACCATTTATGAGTCATCTAGGGAGTCAAATCTAGTCTTCCATATGGATCCCACGTTGCTGAATAGCATTTTACTGCTGTACCAACTAGCTCTTCAGTTTTATTATACAATAGAAAACTTTGGGGGGCAGCAAGTGGCATGGAGGTTAAGACAGCTGAATCCCACTTGACCTACTGTGCACTTCAAGACCCAGACCTAGCAGCTTGAGAATCACACCAGGGACGTGTGTGCACGTGCCCCAAATACCCAGAGAATGGAGGAGAGGGGATTGTGGTGTGGCTACCCTCTGGGTGATTTCTCGCTTTCCCTCTCAGTCTCTCTCTGATACATGTACCTTATTTTTAAAAAAATGAAAGAAAGAAAAAATGATTTTTTATAAAAAGCTCAGCCTTTTCAGAGGTACTTTTATCTCCCTCCCCCACAGCAATGGATTAGAGTTTCAGTGCTCCGTATCCTTCCTAACACTTGGTATCAGACTACTAAATTTTGACCATTTGATTTGTGTGTTCAATAGTGTGTCGTATTAGTGTATACTTACCAAGCTTGAGCCCCTTTTTGTGTTTATTGAGTGTTTTTTGGTAATAGATGATATTAAGAAATATTTTTTAAGTGTAATAATGTTATCTTAGAAACGTATACTGAGGGGCCAGCAGATGGCATAATGGTTATGTCGCTGGACTCCTACATGGTAACCATGGTTCTAGCCCTGGCCTGGTGGCTTGAAATTCTTGCTGGGTGTGTGTGCATGCATGCCCAAAATCCCAGGATGAGAATGGAAGAAAAGGGATTGTAGCATGGCCATCCCCCCCAGGTGGGTGATTACTCACATTCTGTCTCTCTGTCAAGTGCATGCGCCCTATAGCAAAGATCTCTAAAAAAAATAAAAAAGAAAAGAAAAAAAAAGAAATGTATACTAAAATATTTCAGGATATAATGTCAATTTACTTTAAAATAGTTCAGCAAAAAATAGCAGACTCATTAGATTCAGTGACACCAAAAAATATATTGCCTAGAAGTAAATAAAAAAATCCTGAAGAACTCAATTGACAAACTATAATATTTTATCAAGATAATAAAGAAAATGAAGTCAAAAGTATTTGGACAGGGCTACCAGTGTTGAAGTCTCAATATTTTGAGCTTATATCAATAGCTTAACAGATTCTCCCATAAATTTTTGTGACTTCTCTTTTTGCATATAATTATTTTCGGTACTGTTTTAAAAGAGCTAACTAAGTTATTGTTAGACCTCAGGTAAGTTCTTTCCCATATGAATGAATTATTACTTAACCAAGGGAGAAATTTAACAAAGAGCATCACCTAGTGACTGTTTTAACAGCTGCATTTCATTCTTTACTGCTAAAAAAGGTGGTTTTGTTTTTCAAGCAGACTTTGTTATGTTTAGTTCTTTTATATTTCTTGAGGAATTATTTCTCATCTAAAAATGTGATGGAGACCTTTTTTTTTTTAGAATTGTTTATCTTACTTGTTATTATTATTAATTTGACCGAGAGAGAGAAAGAGAAAGAGAGAAAAGGAGAATTGGAAAGCAAGCTGCTAGGTTCGGGACTTGAACCATGGTTAGCCATGTGGTAGTCCAGCGCCCTAACCACTGCACCGCCTGCCAGCCCAAACCTTGCTTTTGTTTTAACATAATCAATCAGTGTAATATAGTAAGTTAGCTTGTTGTGCTTGAATATTTGGCTGGATAAGTTCATGTGAGGTCCTTTTAAGAAAATTCTTATTCTTGGGATATTGTCATTCATTTGGTCTGGAATAGCTCACTCCTCATTTGATTCTGATCATCAGCTATAACACAATTAATTGCATTTGGGAAAAAAGGCATTCCCATGCCTGCCTGTCTTTCCAGTCACCAGAATATAGTACACTTTTGCCAGGTTCTATCTTCCACAGCCTCTTGCTGCCAGGTGTAGCCAGCCACGTCAGGGGACTCTGTTGGATGATCCCGGGAATGATTTACCTTGCTGGCAAAAATAAGGCACTTTTTCTACCAGGCTCTTCCTGCCTGAATATGCTTGTGAGGAGCATATTACATTCTAGAGCTTGTAGCCATGATAGGGTTTGAACCTATGCAGTCATATCCTCCCAGAAGTCCTTTTTCTGCACATTAGGGTTAGTTACTATGTGTGAGAGTAGTATGTGAGTCACTGAATGGGGAACTCCAGTGTCTCCCATACCATCATTCCAGGCTACTGTGAATAGTCAGTCCCTCTGCCAACCTTGCATTGCCTCCATCATTTCAGACAACTTGTGCTATCCTTTCTCTTTTTTTCTGAAGACCTCTTGGCATTACTGAAGAATGCCTTAGATTTTAAACATTACCAATGCACCTAAATTTAAACATGACTTTTGTTTTTTAAGGTTTTTGCCAAAGGGTATGTACTCAGTGGACAGAGACAGAGACAGGGAAAGGGAAAATGAGAAGTCATCCCCCAGTGCTGGTGACCATGCTACAATCTCTTCTCCATTCTCCTCCTGGGATTTTGGGCATGCGCACTCACATGCCTCATGTTATTTTCAAGCCGCCAGGTCCGGGACTCAAACCGCAGTCAGCTATGTGGGAGTCTAGTGCTATAACCAGTACACCACCTTCTGGCCCCAACTTTTTTCGTTTTTAAAGACCAGGTCTCAGCCCAGCAGGTGGCATGGAGGTTGAGGTGACTGGGCCCCTTGTGGCTGACCTCACAGTTTGAGTCTCAGACCCGGCAGCTTGAGAAACGTATGTGTGCCCAAAATTTCAGGAGGAAAGGGATCTGATGTGACCATCCCCCTTAGCAGGTGATTTCTCACTTCTCCTTTTTCTCTTTTTGTCTTTCTCTGTGGAATGCACATGCCCTACATTTAAAAAACAAACAAACAAAAAAATAAACAGAAGAAGGAAAAAAAACAACACATAAAACTAAAAAAGAGGAAGAGAAAGTGTTCATCTCATGCCGTGAGCCCCTTGTTTTAGCCTCCCAAATAGCTGGCATTACAGACGTATGACCGTGCCCAGCTTTCAGGGTGGGTGGTGAATCAAGACCAGGCCTCCCATGTGGCCGTGACTGTCAGGTAGCAGCATGAACCAGTGCATGCTACAGCTGGAGCTAACACAGCCCCACAAGGGCTGATATCCACATTTGAAACGTTAAGGTCTGTGATCTTTCTTTCTTTTTTTTTTTTTTGGAGAGGTTTTTGCTATAGGGTGCGTGTGCTCGCCAGACAGACAGAGACATAGAGACAGAAAGCGAGAAATCACCCCCCAGGTGGATGGTCATGCCACAATCCATTCTCCTCTCGGGATCTTGGGCACGCACGCACACGCGCCCGGTGTGAGTTTTAAGCCATGGTTCAAGTCCCGGACCTGGTGGCTTAAACTCACACCAGACGCGTGTGCGTGCGTGCCCAAGATCCCGAAAGGAGAGTGGAGAAGGGATTGCAGTGTAGCCATACCCCCTGGGGGGTGATTTCTCACTTTCTGTCTCTCTCTCTCTCTTTCTGTCTGTCTTCCTGGTGGGCGCACGCGCCCTATAGCAAAAACCCCTCCAAAAAAAAAAGAAACTTTGGTAAGTCAATTCATTAACAAATTTATATTTTAAAACTGCACCATGAGCTAAACATAGAAAGTGAATTAGAAAAGCATATTCCACTACTCTGAAATACATTTGCAAATTTAAATTACAAGCAAGTAACCTTGTATCATTGAGTATGACCTTATGTATTCCACTTTCTAAAAATTTAATAATGTAATATCACAAAGTCATTTGCTGAATATATTTTCTTTAATGTGTAAGAGTTCTGTATTCCTTTTACCGTTAGGAAGGGCAAACACGCGAACAAT